AATTTAAATTTAAAAGTAATAATTTTTTTCATAAATATATTATAAAATGTGTTAAATTAAAAAATATATCAATTATTATCCTTTCTAATATTATAATAAATTGTTTTAAAAAACTATAAATTAACAAAATTATAGTTAAAATGTTTGACTTAAAAAAATGACGAGGGCTCCTGCACCCACTTACGTCTATAATGATGTAGCCAGTAATTTTTCTTAGAGGGGTCAAATGAATTTTTGAAAAGAAATGCATGCATCTTTACATTAATTAAAAGTTCAATGGAAAGAAAAATTTTAATAAGAAAATTATTTTCAATTAAAATTTGTTAATATTCTGTCAATAAACTAATATTAATTAAAAGTATGATATTATATATACATGACAATAATTGAAAGATAAAATAAACATATATTAAATTAAAAATATTAATAAACAAAAAAACAAAAGTAAATGGGTATTAATAAATAAAAAAAGTAATAATAAACAACTATTTTATAAAAGAATAATATTAAACAACTTTGTATTCAATTAATTTTTTTATCATATTTTATTTTATCTTTATTTTCCTCATTTTTCTCATAATCACTAAGACTAATCTTTGAAAAAACAAGGGTTAAAAATAATTAAAATGTATAAAATAAACTAAGATTGAGATAATACAAATATAATTAAAAGGACCAAAATTTTTATTTTTTAAAAGTTCAGGGAGCCTGTGCCCCTTTGTCCCCCTTTCTCCATTGATGCTTACGTGCAAGTATGTCTAGTATGAATTTCCAGTCCTATCAATAGAGATTACACAATGGGAAGGAAGTCTGGACTTTGATACTTTGTGAAAGGTGAGTACGTGAGTTTCATCATAAATTTTACATTTAATTTAAAATTAATTAATAATAAATAAAATAATTTTTTTTGTATTTAAGTCATACTTTTTCATTATGTCTTCAATTGAAATCTTCCCACCTAATATGGCCCTCAGGTGAACAAGTCCAGTCACGTGGGTTACATTTTTTTTTTTTTAATTGAACTTAGAGGAATTTTCGGGGATGAAGGAGCAGTGCCTGGTTATAGAAATGTAAGACTTCACCTCTGAGTATCTTTTTTTGTAAAGGAATAGTCACTAAGTCATATAATGCTGAACTTTAAGTATGTCACATTTAAAAAACATAATTAAAAAGAATTTATAGTTCATTTGTAATTCAAAAATTCCACCTAAAATAGTCTCAAATGATTTGGCTTCAAAGCCTGATGCTAATGAACCTCGTGATGTGAAATGTTTGACTCCAGAAGTTGTTATTGGGCGTGATCTTACTGAGCTCAAGTGGCAGGGGGCTGATCAGAAAGCCATTCTAGCTGCACTACCTGAGCTTACTTCTTTGGATGATATTCCTCCACCATCCAGGGAAGTGAAAGTTCCTTTTGGTGTATTACCTCTTTCGCAGAATCGTTCTTTAATATCTAACCTCATGTCCCTAATTGATCCTCCTCCATCATTTGATGATGTCAAAGAAGTAACTCTCAGAGAGCTTTACCAGATAAGTTTAAGCTCTCTATCTGTTATCTCCAATATGTTTGTTTGTTTATGTCATGTTTTGATGTGTGTATGCAGATGTTACTGTAACAAGTAACTTGTCAGATGGGAACAGCTTGTCTGTGCAAAAAGATTTCCAGGTATCTTGTTAGAAGGAAAACAGTCTTATTGTTCCCAAAATATGCATAATGTTTTTAAAATCTTGTGGCCAAAAAGATATGTCATCTCTTGAAATTGAAATTTCAGACCTCAATGACAGTTTGGAAGCACTTGAGGGCAGGTTGACCTTAATTTTCTTGAGCATTCTATAAATTCTCTTCAAAGTGGAACTGAAGGGCTCCATTTTATTCAAGATCTCCAAACTTGAAAGATTCTAAAACTGATTCTACTTCTATGGGAATGACTGTTAATAGGATGCTGGTGGCATCAAGAACTTCTAGCAATTTCAGTTTCATGCCTTGACAATTTTCAGCTCACCTCTGCATTTGCTGGCATTCTTCATCCATTCTCTTTGTTACATCACGAGTTTGTACTTCTCATTAGCACTTTATCTCTACGTACATGCAGTGATGCAGACGCTGCAAAGCTGAAAGTAACTAGCCAGAAAACTGAGAACCAAGTCTATTATCGGCTAGAACTTCATACAAGGGCTAAAGGAGTGAAACTCGTACTGCATAGCTTGCCAAGAAGTTATGAATAATCTATAGGTATGGTTTTACATGAAAAGCACATCTCCGGTTCTCAGAACTGAATGGTACACTTGCATATAGTCTAGGAATTCATCTTGTGGATTTTGAAGGAAAAATTGACTTTGTTTCTTTTAGGTTAAATCACCAATTGATCCCTAAATTATTGTACGAACCTCAATTGGGTCCTTATTATTTGCCAATTTATCTCAAATTCGTTATTCCGTACAAAAAACAGTTAATGTGTTTTGTTATTAACATAATACGTGATCATTAAATAATTGTTTTTTACCATTAAGTAATGAACACGTCAGTTATTTTTTATACGAAATGACCAACTTGAGGTTAAATCAATAAGTAGTAAGAATCAAATTGACAAGTAAGAACCAAATTGAGGTCCATACAATAGTTTAGGGATTAAATTAGAGATTGTTTTTGGTTAGATCAAATCAAAGATCTTTACAATAGTTTAGAGAGTAAATTAGGGGTTTAATCTTTCTTTTATGGGTTTTCTTCTTATTGATCAGCAGGCTCTTATGTCACAGCAGCAACAATTAGATTGTAATTTGTCTATACATTTGTTCATTGATTTTTTTTTTTTTTTTTGCTTTTTGATAAGAATAATGGTTAATAAATTAGTATTATTAGATATTAACAACTAAAAATTTAATTTTCAAATCAAATGAACAGTTCACCTACCTCAATAAAATAGCGGCCCACTTGATGGAGTTCACATTTGTTCATTGATTGATCGATAAATATGTGCTCGAAATGTTGTAATGATAACTGTACTCCTGTAAAAAAAAAGAGAAGAAACTGCGAAGGGTATAAACTTTATTAACGCCTCGGCATTACCTGAGTTGAGCACTATGCTGCCGCCTTCTCTCGGGAATCAACCAGTAAAACGCCAGAGACAATCAACAGCTGCGCCGTTTCATGATTAACGCCGTCATAATTCAATTTCTTTACTTACAATTGACGAAATCGCAGCCCGGTAGTGTACTTATCTCTACACAATTTGAATAAGGTACTTAACCAATTGATTTGGTTACATGTGAGTTACGAGTAAAGCTAAGTCAAATGGTCATCCCTAATTAGATGGTCAGATGTTTATATATATATATATATATGTATGAAATTAATACATATTAATTTCGATTTTAAAAAATAATTAGAACCTCAATTTATGTTTGAAATTTAAAATTTTATTATATTAAATATTTATATCTAAATTAAAAAACTTATTATACATTCTAATATAATAATATAACTTTTTAAGTTTTAAATTGAGTCTTAATTAAATAAAATAGCATGATTTAAGATTGAAATTCTAATTATTTTTAAGAGTCGAAATTCATATGTATTTTTTCTTATACATATATAACACGAACAACTTATTAATTTAAATAAAAAATTTTCATTTCTCTTTAAATAAAATCTTAAGTTTAAATTTTATAATTAGATAAACATACACTAAGAAAATTTCTTTCTTATGGGATTCAAAAGGCATTTGGATATCAAGAATTAGTATAAAATATAAAGGTATATATATATATATTAAAAGAACACTCTTAATCAGATAATTAAAATGTTAGCTGCACTCAACTAACCAATGGTCGAGTGCTCCACAGCCACAGGTAGCCAAGTGCAACTAGGATTCTTCTTTGATTTTTATAATTCTTAATCAATTACAATATTACACAACCTAAACCATTAATAGGACAGCACCTTGTTATTAAGATTGTCTCATTTAATTGGTTCTAGATTTATAGACTATAAAATAAGTTATTTAAAAAAAAAAGACTATAAAATAAGTGACTATTTTTGTTATCTTATAATATATATAAATTTAGTTTCCTTTGGCTGTATTTGGTTAGAGATCAGTTTTTTTGTTGAAGTTTTTTTTTTTTTTCATAGAAAAGTAGTTAAAATGTATTTTATAAAAAAGTTAAAAAATAATGAATGAAAAATTATTAAGTTTTGTAATGAAATTTTATTAAAATGTTAATTTTGTTTTGTTTGGTAAAAAATTTATATAAGAAAAGTTAGTATGAAATGTTACTAAATGAGTTCAATATAAAAAAATTGTTGGAAAACCTTTTTTTTTTTAAAGAGGTGGAAAGAAAACCTTTTTAATTAGAATTATATTAAAGAAAATAAATATTAAAAATATCATTTTTATCCTTTACTTATTATAATTTTAAGTATGTTAAAATTATAATATCTTTACAAAATCTTGAAAGGGTTATTTTGTGAGAAAGTAAATCAAACATGCCTTGAACGTTATGGTTATAGTTACCAATTCTCTCTTTTCGTTAAAGCTATTAAAATTATATTTAATTTCATTGAAATTTGTAATTGTTTTAAAATGTATTATTATAATATTTAAAAATATTAATTTATAAATTTTTTAATTTATTAAAAAATAAATATTAATTATTAATTATTTTTATCAATAAATCAAATAAAATTAATATTTTTTTAACCGTGTCCTTAACCAAAGAATTAGTGGTCACACTCACACCCTAGCTTCTTGCATTTTGGATTTTCGTCATTGCAATTGTCATCAAAACTAACAGTCATGC